TAATGTGCAGCAATATTCCAGCCTAGAGAGAGAACAACTGATTTGAAAAGACTCATCACTGGATTGGCATCTCTTGTTTTGAACGTTCTCATTATCCATCATATCATTTTCTTTGCAGTTGTGATCGTGGCACTGTTGAGATCCTCAGACATTACCATTCCCAGGTCCCTCGCATTATTTTTCCGCTCTATTGTATGATCAGAGTTTGTAGTATACTCGGTTCTAGTTATTATCTCTTCCAGTTATCCATAAAGGAGTAGTTGGAATTTGTCTTCATTGAACATCATATTTGTTTTCCGTTGCCCATTAGAAAACTTGGTTTATATCTTCTTGGAGGTTAACCGTCTCCTCAATAGATGACAGTCTCATGCGGATTCTAGTATCGTCTGCAAAGGATGACACGGTGCTATGGCTCACACCTTTATCTATGTGAGATATAAGGATGAGGAACAGGATGGGACGAGTACTGTGCCTTGTGGAATGAATCTTTTCACTATGGCAGCTTCCGATTTAACTCTGTTGACCACTACTCTTTGTGTTCGATTGGTTAGAAAGTTGAAGATCCATCTCCCCACTATGGGAGTTATTTTGTGCGCTGTTACGCCATGATTGCACTTGTCAAACGCTATTGCAAAGTCTGTGTATTACATCTGCACTCTGTTTTTCTTCCAGTGCATCCAAGACTGTTTCATAGTGATCCAGTAGTAGTTGCGAGAGGCAGGACCGACCTGCTCTGACCCCATGTTGTATCAGATATGGGTTCCATATTGGTGCTTCATACTCCAAAATGGACCTGACAAATGCCGTATATAGTGTCGTGAACATAAGAACATAAGAAAGGAGGAACACTGCAGGAGGCCTGTTGGCCCATACTAGGCAGGTCCTTTACAATTCATCCCACTAACAAAACATTTGCCCAACCCAATTTTCAATGCCACCCAAGAAATAAGCTCTGATGTGAAAGTCCTACTCAAATCCAACCCCTCCCACTCATGTACTTATCGAACCTAAATTTGAAACTACCCAAAGTCCCAGCCTCAATAACCCAACTAGGTAGACTGTTCCACTCATCAACTACCCTATTTCCAAACCAATACTTTCCTATGTCCTTTCTAAATCTAAACTTATCTAATTTAAATCCATTACTGCGGGTTCTCTCTTGGAGAGACATCCTCAAGACCTTATTAATATCCCCTTTATTAATACCTATCTTCCACTTATACACTTCGATCAGGTCTCCCCTCATTCTTCGTCTAACAAGTGAATGTAACTTAAGAGTCTTCAATCTTTCTTCATAAGGAAGATTTCTAATGCTATGTATTAATTTAGTCATCCTACGCTGAATGTTTTCTAACGAATTTATGTCCATTCTGTAATACGGAGACCAGAACTGAGCTGCATAATCTAGGTGAGGCCTTACTAATGATGTATAAAGCTGCAGTATGACCTCTGGACTTCTGTTGCTTACACTTCTTGATATAAATCCCAGTAATCTATTTGCCTTATTACGTACGCTTAGGCATTGCTGTCTTGGTTTAAGGTTGCTGCTCACCATAACCCCCAAGTCCTTTTCGCAATCTGTATGGCTAAGTTCTACATTATTTAACTTATAAGTACTAGGGTTATGGGCACTCCCAAGCTTCAGAACCTTGCATTTATCTACATAGAACTGCATCTGCCACTTTTCTGACCAAGAATAGAGTTTGTTTAAATCCTCCTGAAGTTCCATAACATGTACGTTTGAATCAATTATCCTACCTATCTTTGTGTCATCGGCAAATTTGCTCATATCACTAGTAATTCCCTCATCAAGATCATTGATATATATTATAAACAACAACGGGCCCAAGACTGATGCCTGTGGAACGCCACTTGTTACAGATCCCCACTCGGATTTAACCCCATTTATGGACACTCTCTGCTTCCTGTCAGTGAGCCATGACTCGATCCACGAGAGCACTTTTCCCCCAATGCCATGAGCTGCCACTTTCTTTAACAGTCTATGGTGCGGAACTCTATCAAAAGCCTTACTAAAATCTAAGTAAATAATATCAAATTCTTTATCGTGGTCAACAGCCTCAAAAGCTTTACTGAAGAAAGTTAATAAATTAGTTAGACAAGACTGGCCTCTTGTGAATCCATGCTGAGTATCATTAATCAAGCTATGCTTATCGAGATGGCTTCTTATAATCTCAGCTATAATTGGCTCTAGTAATTTGCCTACAATTGAGGTCAGGCTTATTGGGCGGTAATTTGACGGTAACGACTTGTCCCCTGTTTTAAAAATAGGAATTACATTAGCCATCTTCCACATATCAGACACTACACCTGTTTGAAGAGATAAATTAAAAACATTAGTTAATGGTTCACAGAGTTCCATTTTGCATTCCTTAAGAACCCATGAAAAAACCCTCATCAGGACCCGGCGACTTATTTTGCTTCAGTCTGTCTATTTGCTTCACAACCATTTCACTAGTGACTGTGATGTTACATAATTTAT